TCTGTACCGGGTGTATAATTTCTTTAATTTTGCAATCGTTTGTTGACTGAAGACTGTGTAGAGTGTTCGTCTGTAATTTGAATTTGACTCTGTTCTACTCCCTATTGCAGTCTGTTCCCATGAGCTTGTAACTATTTTGAAGTAAGATGTGTAGATCAGTAGTTGAAAGTTCATGAAACCTCTATACAAAAAATGAAAAGCACATATGCTTAAGAGCTTTGCAGGCTGTTAGTATTGGAATACCTCAAAAGCTTCTGAAAGCCATGTAAAGTTCACAAAATTACTACAGATACAGGTTGGTTCGTGAAAGCTCTGTGAAGCTCATGAAGACCACTTCTAGATATAGGTTTCACAGATCTTTAAATGTTTAAGAACCTCAAAAGCTCACGAAAGCTCTCTGTAGCTCATAAAAATCACTCAACGATACAGCTTGCTTCACGAAAGCTCTGTAAAGCCCATTAAAACCAGACGTAGATACAGACTTAAAAGATATTTTACTGCTAAAGAGCCTCAAGTAGCTCCAGAAAGTTTAGGAAAACTGTGAAACTGCCAAAGCTCAAAGTTCTCCAGTACAGACCATACAAGACTTGTATTCTTTTAGTCTTATGCCTAATATGACTTTAGTGCCACATTTAAGCTTTAATTTGGTATTACCCGACACTTTCTCGCTGCATTCATTTGCATATCATATCGGTATATACATATATACTTGTATATTTGTAAATAGCGCGAGGTTAAATCAATTTAAACTTACTTCAATATGCGATTTTCTTCGCGTTGCCATTTTTAGTTTCGCACTCTTGAGTTGCTTGTCGCAAGGAGTTCGGAAGGAGAGAGAGGGGGGGTACTTGGAAAGACGCGTTGCTTGCCATTTCATATGCAAAGGCAAAGAGCATATAAATGCCATAGCGCGCGGCGCTGTCACGTAACTCACACACACACACGCTCGCGTATGCAGGCGGATATTTACATGCAAGCAGCAATGCAACATATTAATAAAATAGTAATGTGGCACGCACTTTGTGGCATGCATACACGCTTACATGCATTTACATTTAAATTTGCACACCAGCACAAACACATATGTCATACTTATCCGTAGTTATGTGACATAAAACACTATGTAACATACTCGGCGGACCATTAAAACGCGCGCCACGACTCGCTTTGTTCAAATAATTTCCGAATATTATTATTGTTGGTGTTGCTGTTGTTATTGACTATTTGCTGCGTTTGCCACATTTGTGCGGGAGTAGTGGAGTAGTCCACCTGCAGTGCCGCGCAGCGTGCAATAGCTGCTGCAGCTTAAATTAAAATGCGCGACACATGAGCGCGCATATTTTACAAACGCATGTGGGTGCATGCAGAAGAAGAAGAAGCAGCATTAAAATTGAAACTTGCTCAAAGAAGTGTGCGACATAGAAAGTCCGTGCTAGCTGGCAAATATGAAGTTGCAAAATACTGTGATACCGCTTAGCAACAAGAATGTTGTGTACCCAAGCATGCTTTATATTCGGGATTAAAAATTTCAATTCAATCAGTGATCGTATTTATAAATGCTGTATAATTAATTCTATACTTTTTTAAAGTGTCGGGGTTTAAAATAAATGATATTCTGGACTTTGAATTTCGGGATCCCAAAAATTTTCGGTTTTAAAAATAATTTCACTAGACCTAATATGAAATTTCATAAATACTATATAATAATTTTGAACATTTTTTAAGTTTCGGATCCCGAAAAATTTCGGGACTTGCACGATTTTGACTACAATTTTCGCGATTGATTTTATGTTATGAAAACGAAAAGAGTTTAGTTAAAGTTATTTCCTTTGAGATAAGATTTTTAACATGACATGAGTTTAGTTTAAGTTATTTCTTTACGAAACACAATTAAAGTAGGAATTTAATCGTTTCGGGATCCCGAAAATGTTGGTTTTGGTTGGCGTTATATTTTTTTTTGAACTAGATAAAAAACTAAATGTGAAAAAAACCGCTTTGGGTAACTCAAAATTTCGGGATTTTTCGGGATTGGGCATATTTTACGAAAGCTAAGTGAAATTAATTGAAGAATTTTCAATTTCAGAAAAAATTTAATAAGAATTTTCAGGTTTAATGTTGTACGCAACAACTTCGCTATGCGAGCCTTTGTGCCTTAGAGGTCTTCTTTCTAGTTCAAAGTTTGCTTGGTTCAAATTTTTCAGCGCTCATTTTAATATTTTTCAAAATATGCATACAAATACATTTAAACCGACATATTTATATATACGAACATACACGTAATTATTATAGTTAAAGCTTTTTTTTGCATATCGTGCACCCTGTTTCAGTCACAGCTTCGCCTTTTACTTTGTAGCAGCTAATAAAGTCCTAAATGGAATGCCTTTGACTGGCTCAAAAATGTTTAATAAAATCTTCCTCTATTTATATGTGTATGTGCTACTTAATGCATTGCAGGCTGAATATCTGCTCATATTGTAGCCAAAGTTTGACTATAAAATCACGGACAGTGATTTTTCGCACCAAAAATTTATATAAAGCTAACGGTAACACATAAAGAGAAAAGTGGTAAATACCCATACTGTTTCGATTATGACTCTGTGAGTGAGAAACCTAGCTGACAATTAAATAATCAAAAGAGACAAACAGAATTTGTGAGAGAGATAAAATTAGAAGGCTGGTGCGTGAGCTAGTCGGTATTCCTACAATGGATTCCTGATTTGAACTTCAAAAATTAGGTCGTTCTTTTAAAATTTGTTTTCTTTACATCCGATCGGGTATGCTTTAGACAGAAATAGAATACGAAGTTTGTTTATTTGGTTCAGTTATGAGTTTATGCTCGCCCAAAGAATCCGCTGATGGTGAAAATATCAAAAGACGCATCTCTTTTAAACTGTGTTGACTGGGTTGACTAGTATTTTGAAAGCTTATGAAAGCTCTATACAAATATTGCAAGCCGAACTTGGTTAGGATAGTACCTCAAAAGCTTTTAAAAACTCTGTGAAGCTTATAAAAACCACAAACATATGAAGGTTGGTTGCTGAAAGCTCTCTAAAGCTTGTAAATACCAGACATAAATAGAAGTTTCGCAGATCATTTGGTGTCTGAAAACCACAAAAGCGCTTGAAAGTTCTGTGAAGCTCATAAAAACCATCCATAGATGCAGTGTGGTCTCTGAAAACTCTGTAAAACTCAGAAAACCACACATACATCCAGGATGCGTGGATCCTTTATTGCTTAGGAACTTCGAAGTTTTTTAAAGCTCTTGAGACTTGAAATCCTTTGGGATTTTCATATTTTGTAAATCTTTTGGATCTTTTATAAAGTCGAACAGGCTCTCAATAGCATTAGCGGATCTTTAAACGTTTATTTTTCGAAATCTACAACTTTTCTTTTTGCTTGCCAAAGACATAGAACCCCACTTGAGTTTGCAATATGCTTTTGGAACTCTTTAAAAGTAAAACCACAATTTTTTAGGGTTTCATGTTTTGAAATCTTTCCTATACCTATATATGTTGCATTAAAGCAACTTTACGGATATACTTTCCCTTTAAGCTCCCACGAACCGCTTTATTAGAATTCTAGACACGTACGTATGTCTTCCGTTCTCTGAAACAGCGTCGCTCGCGTCTGCGCAGAAGGAAATCATATGTGTTGCATGCAAAATGAGTATTTAATGGCACAAAAGTACGTCACTGTTCTTCAATGCCCTCCAAAAGATTTGCACTGCAGAGCAAACCATTCCTTAACTCATTGCGAATTCGCGCCTATAAATAGAATTGCACTTTATTTGCATTGCGCACGGTTTTTTTCATGTTCTTACATTCGTGGACACATTGATGACGCATTTCATTTAATTTCCGTTGACTACCTCAATGACAAGCTGAATACACCGTCAACAGGCTTGACAATCGTATTGATTATGAAAAGGGCGTCTTCGCATTTTACATATTCGATTGTCCCGTATTTCAATAGCTGTCAGTGTTTTTTGAAATTTCCGATAATGTGGCACGCAACGTGTACAGGAAATTATTGGCGATTGTCAATATATGTACGATTAAAAGTTTCATGGTGAAGGGTACTCTAAAAAGAAAGTGTTATCAAGCGTAAGGGAAACATTTTTCTAGTAGATTTTCAAATATACTTGCGTATAAAGAAAAAGGAAACTTTTAGGAACATTTATTATAACTTTGTAGTATTAAATTTATCTTTTATTATTATATTAAATTTAAAAAAAAAATTTCTATTAATTTTTAAATTTCTTATATTTGTTTTAATTTTTAAATTTTGGCAACTCTATCATACAATTTTAAGAATAGTTTTTACAATTCGAGAAACCGTATTTCATAAAACAAAGCTTTTTTTACTAAGGTGGATTTTTTTTTGCTTTTAAATTTATTAGTGTTGGCAACTCTACCATAAAATTGTAAGAATACTAAATGTAAATTGTAAACGATCTTAAATAAAAAAATTCTTTTGTTGATTCTATGTTTTTATGATTTTTTTAATTTTTTAATGATGGCAACTCTATTCTAAAGTTTGTTTTTTTTTGTATTAATCCTGAAAGTAACCTATGACTTTTGTAATTTCTAATGGTGGTAACGCTATCATAAAATTTTCAAAATTCTCTTGGTAGTTCATATTATATAAGAAAGTTTTTTATTAATCCCGAAAAGGGTGGCAATTATATCCTAAAAGTTTGAGAATACGCTTTGTAAGTGGGTGAATTGTCTTTTATAAAATTAAGTTTTATATTATTTTCAAAATGTTTTATAGTTTTTTTTTGTAATGATGGCAACTCGTTTTTAAATTTTTAGTATAATTTATTTTAGAGTATATTTTCGTCTTAAATTTACTTTAATTTATTTGACACCATTTTTTACACTAAAATAATTGAAAAAATTTTACAAGTGTGGCAACTCTGAATTTAATTATTTCATTAAACAAATTTTATCGGCATTATATTTTTATACAACTTTCCTTTTCTCTCTCTCTCTTTGCAGTTAAGCTATGCTTTCCTTGCGCGCGCAAAACATTTAACCAAGCGCTTACCCCTCAAATACTCTAAAGAAGCACTCTGTTTTGATTAACAGCGACGCGTCCACAAATGTCTGACGAAGTGCCTTCGGGGCGCTTATCGCAAATCTTCGATTCGCTCACCAATCTACAACAGCAACAAGTGCTACAAGCGCGTCGCCGCTCTGCCTCGTCATCGTCGCCTTCGCCAGCGAATTCTGGCCGCGCCACACCATCCACTGCCAGCGCTGGTCAACAACCGTTTGCCTTTCACCATCAGCATTTTAGCAACCATGCGCATGCATATTATATGCGCGCGCAAGATGAAAACGCATATATGCATACGTTTCCGGCGGCGGCGGCGACGCAAGCGCACCATCACCATCACTTACATCACATGCAAACGGCGCACTACTATGCGCAGCAACAAAACGCACAACAGCAGCAGCTGTACTGCGGTGCGCAGCAACAGCAAATGTCATTGCCTCCCATGTATGCCTCACAGTCGTTGAACTCGTCGCCTTTGCTCACCAAACGCGCCACATCCTTTAGCGGTAATATGCCCTTAACGCGTCCGCACTGTGAAAATATTGCCGCGATTCGGATTTCGGCAGCCACAGCAGGCGCGAGTGGCAATGCCGTCTCGCAATCGACTCCAAATAGTCCGCGTTTGATGCCGCGGCGTGTGCAGCGCCCACCACCTATACCGGCAAAGCCAAGCGCGGCGTCGCTGCAAAGTGCTGGTGGTGGCGGCGGTGGTGCTATGGCTAAGAAGCCCGTGTCGGCCACCGGCAGCGATGCATCTGAAAAGTCAGATACGGGCACGGCGCAGTCGACTGCCGGTGCGGCGATTAATCCGGGTTTAGCCGCATTAGATACCGATGCGCCTTGGCCGCATTTCTCTACGATCACCGAACATTTGGACGTGCATCAGGTGAACAACTACGCGCAACCAGTTCCGGAGGTAAGTTTTTAACCCAAGGAATACTTTTATTTTCACTGCCTGATAGGGAATAGCTTGGTAGCCTTATACATTTGTGAATAAACAAACTTGTTGACTTCATCACCTTTCCTCATCTTGCTTTAAAAGATATAATAAGTACTAAGCAAACCTTACCTTTTTCCATCTTTGGCTTTATAAGATTCCCGCGTCTTCAATGGGGACGCATCTTTAGACTATAGACGTCTGGGCTGGAGTAACATTATTTTACTAGAGATTTTCCTAGTTTTTTTACCTCGACTTTATCACCTACTTCTGGGCCACCTGCAATGGCATCTGTCTTCTTTTAACTGGCGAAAGCCTTAATATTTTTACGTCCTGTATTTAAGAATGTTCTTTGGTTTGACAATGAAACTGCCGAACTCCACAAGAAGAAATATAATGTAACCTTGGAAGGACTGATCATTGTTGTTCAGGTGAATGGGTTCATAATCTCTGGAGATGTAGCGCCCAGCCAAAGGTCTTTTTTTCTTCTTTGTTCTAAAAAGTTCAGGCGGCGAAGAGAAAGTCATTTATCAGGGCTCCATTTAAAGCAGTCGGCTTAGTAATGATTGCTTCGAAGACAGTCTAGTATCAGAATGTTCTCAGGTGAAATAGTACAAGTTTTTGAAATCCAAAATATACATTTCGAAACTTGATCCTAATTAAACCTTAAGATTTTCACTTGGTGTGATTTTTAAAGCTGTTTTCAATGTTCATGTGTTCCTTAAATTTTCGCTTTTCAGATTAACTGGCAAGAACGCTGTCTGGAACTTCAACTCGAGCTGCATCGCTCCAAAAATCAAGCTGGCCGCATACGTGATATGCTACGTGAAAAGGTGAGTGCTGAATTCTTATTCTCTATTTTCAAATCTCGCTCATTTGAATATTGTAAATTATGTGCCTAAAAGTAGACTAGACACATTTTTCGGCTTAACATGTCTCGGGTGAGGGCAGCTTGTATGCTGTCACGTAGAATGAAAATTAAATGCGCTTTTGGGAATAATTCAAATGTGTGTTTGAGCCGTGGCAAGGCTTACAGGCGACAGGACATTGAGAAATTAAGAAGAAAAAAGTGTGTGTGGCACGAAAGATTATCACAGTGGCGACACTCAGCCGTTGAAATTAATAGAGCAAAATGAAAAAGAATGTTTTGAGAGTTTGGAACACAGTTTTCTGTGGTTGAATTTTGGCATTCTTAGTTTGGCTTGCCTCACTTGCCGAATATTTGTGTGCCTGGCTGTGAGTGAATGTTTGTTTTTTATGCAGTGACGCTCATAGGCGCTGCTTCATTTATTATTTTGGTCATTAATTTGGCAAGCACGTATGTCGTGCTTTTGTATATGTGTGTGTAGAGTGGCTCATGCGACAGCTGCCAAGTATGCTTTAATCCTCCTCATAGACTCATACGCATATTCAGCATCGCCTACACACTGATGAACTCAAGCTGAGGCCAGCTAAAGCATATTACTCCGCCTAATTCAGTATTCCCAGAAACTATGTATACAAGCTTGAAGTGAGAAAGCATTGAAAGCTTAGCATCTCTTCCAAGTTTTATAAACTTTTCTTTAAAAGTCCTTAAAATGGGTATATGCTACGTTGTTATAGCTCAGTTCAGGAGACTCCAGAAATCATTTCACCTAACTTTGGGAGTCCTGCCGAGTAAGTAGTTCTTGGCCGCTTAAAAATAAATAAGACCACTTATAATGGAAACATTGCTTGTGATCCCTTTCTCGGAATGCCTAAAGTCTTAGTGCTGATTGTTACCGATTTCTCTCTTGTATTTTGGACTTCTTTTAAAAAAGGATAATCGAGTTATAAGCGGGTTAACCACTTCTTGTTTAAAGCGATCGATGTTAAGGACCTCCAAAAGCTGTAATGTATTCACAAAGCCCATCACTGAAAAGTGAGGTTGCTCATTGATGCCTTAAACTAGAACGCACCGAAGTATATCGCAAACGAGGTTAGATCGCCGACCTTCCTTGGCCGGAAAATATTCGAATCAAATCCGGTAATGTAAAACCGGGTGTCGTGGTAATTGCATACAACGAGTCCCCGCATGATTCCTACCACCTCTTTGCATTTTCAGCTAACTGTTTACTTCTGATATCCCTCCCCTATGAACCGAACCCGTCGAAACAGCATTTTTCCTGGGCCTATTGTTGGATGATCGCTCGGTTTCCTGCGTATTGTAATAGTAAGAAGAGGAGAAAAATTTAGAGCTTTAACTTTCCTCTTCAGCGTAATTGCCTACAAAATGCACCCAGAAAGTTATTTTGGGCTCCTGGGTCTAGTAAAAAATCAGTTTCGCTTACAAACTGAAGTGTAATGACGTTAGTTTATATTATATTCTTGGCTTGCGTCTCTTCGGCACTAGCCCGCAACTTTTTGGTACGGATGAGATACTGAATGTGCTCTAATTTTGTTTCTTCACCGATTGGTCCACTTTTCTTTCCGTTTTTCTAATCAACAACTTTTTAAATGCATTTCTCCAAACACAACTTTAGCCACAACAAGCGGGGTTACCGCGTTCCCACCACATCCCCAAAAACTCTTTAGTCCTACCATATTTTCACGCACTTAGTGTCAAAAAATTCGTACGTTCTGTGAATATTAATTCACCGCCAAGTAATTTAACCCCAATAAAACTGTCAGCGAATCAATGCACGCAGCAAGCGCAACCCCAATTGTGTTCAATACTTTTTTTGGGTTGCGGAGTTTACGCATTTTTCAATTGCCCCGACATAGTTAAGCCTTTTTAATAAGTAAATTTCATTATCAAACATGCCTCGCCAAATATTTGAAGAATGAAATAATCAATTAAGCCATCCACTCGTCATGCTTAATGAATGTTAATGAGCGAATAAAGTGTGGTTGGCTCGGCAGGATTTGAGTTTCGGAACATCCTTTTTGCGTAATATGAGCGGTTATAAGTGATTTGAGAAGGTATGAGTGATGGTGATGATGATGGTGAGTGTGGGCTTGACATGGTAAACGTTTTGTATTTTTAAAGAGGTACTGAGATCTCATAGAACATCTCAAGCCTCAGCGAGACATGGCTGAGTCCTTATGGAATGGGAATGGTATAGTATATGAGGAAAATCCCATCCCATTGGAATATAAGGGAAATCCCATTCCATTGAAGCTATATTGTGGGCCTCTGAATTTCATATTTGTTTTAGAGAAGTCGTCCAAACATTACTTCTAGTATTCAATATCCTAAATTAGGAACTTTAAGTTTATACTTACGATCTCCATCCGAAAGAAAGTACCCAATACTGTAAAAGTTTCAATAAAAAATGCATCGTCTAGGAAATGTAGACAGATAACTAAAGAAACAAAACCGTTGGGAGGTCTTTTTCGAGCTCTTGAAGCCATATAAAGTTGTTATAAAGACGGAAGATTCCAGTCTATTCGTATCACCATGACACTCAAGCGATTATATTAATCATTTGTAGTCCTCCATTTCATTTGAGATTATACTAGTTTGAGCTCATGGTTTTTTTTAAAGATCTTCTAATCCAGATAGACATCGATCAAATATTTTTTTCCGGATTACTATTATATTGAAGTCAAACATTCATACTTAGCATCGAGTGAAGTTCTGTCCTCAGTCTGGTCTCATTTTTTCATCTAACAGTCGGCTGCTCTCTTTTTATGAAAGCAGTAAGTCTCCGTCTATTTCCATCAACTCTCAACCAATTTGGTGTCTTACAAGTGTAGGTGACTGCCATTAAGGTCGCATTAGAAGTACTGCTTCGAAGTGCAGCTTCCTTCAGTGAGGTGTACTTTCACTCCGATAGCGAAACGGATAATCTGGCTGTGAACTCGCTGACTGTGCGCTAAAAGCCAAAGAGTAAATAAATTCATCGCCAAAAGCATCAAGTCTCTTTCAAGTCTCCGAAACTGGAAACTGCAATGCTGATGAGGTTGCTAGGAATCCAGCTTCATCTGATTGGTAGCGGATGTCCTCTTGCGCTCTAGCGCCGAACCTCCCATCAGCGCGGCATGAAAGGATCAACCAACACAACTTGTGCGGATGCAACCGTCTTCGAGTCCAGAGTGAACCGTAACAAGTCCTCCAGGTTTTGCTCTTAGCTATCTCAATCTCGTCGCATTTGTAGAGTGCAGTCTCTGTCCAGTCTCTGTCCAAAAGGTCCATCTGCAGTTTGGCTAATTATTTTTTCGAACGCCTTTTCCATCATAAAAAAAGGAAGGCGAGATAGAATCATCTTGATCATCTTGCCAGTTTCTCCTCTGTGGACGAACTGTTGCCAGACTGACATGGAATTAAATGCAGACACACTTCAGCGAATCCAACGAAGTGGATGTCCTTATAAATTTATGATAAGCTTAAAGGTTTCTTTGGTCGTTGAGAACCTGGCGATCTAGTTTTTAGGAGTTTTTGGGTATCACAAGCGACCAACGTTCATAGCTGTGCAGGTGAGATTCCACTACCTTTCGCGCGACGATCAAACCTACGACTTAACACAAAGTTATTTACCGATGTTGAGTCTAAAATATGTTAAACTGATTGGAAGTCACGTCGGGTGTTCAAATAACGGAATTCTACTTTAGTGACTAGTTCTATCAGTTTCTTAATCTATACTGCTGAAATTCAGTATTTGCTCGTCAAAAGCAAATTTTGATTGGCAACAATAGTTGCTGATTTGGTACTACCATCAAATCTTTATCCCCTTACCCCCGCCAAGAAAAACTAAACGCTGCTAGTTTCCAATTTTCCAGCTTTTAAGCATGTGTTGCCAAATTTTTATTGCCATTAAAATTTTATTGTCAGTTTGCGATTTGCTTCGGTTTTCGAATGAACTTGGCTACCCTGTGCCTCTTGCGAATTCTTCCGCTGTGTTATTTGTGCGGCATTTTATGCGCAATTTTTTCTTTAACGGTACTAAACTTGTATTTTATTACCTTACAAGAATGTTGCAATATGTTTGGCAATAATTTTGTTGCGAAATACCGTTATGCAGTTAACTGTTAGTGTGTTTTTTGCAACCATTTTACTTTTCAGCGGTCAGTTCGTCTAAAATGCTGCAACGAAAAACTGGCTGAGTACATATTTCAGTTGTTGGCACTTTTTTATGATTTTTTTTGTTTTTGTAATATTGTTGGCAAGTGCATATATTTTTTTTGGCAAATATTTGGTGAAGAAAAAATATTTGGGTGCCATATCTTTGGCTCGTATGTTTTTAATTTTCTTGGCTTCGCTAGCTGCTTTAATTTTCTAGCATTAAATATTTTAACTGCATTTGCTTTACTCTCTAATATTTTTTTATGTGAAAGTACCTGCTAGCTCCCCTCAAATACCGCCTTTGCAGTACCATATTTACCTTTTTTTCTGTCTTTGCCCCTACTCACTTTTATTTTCCTTCCCCTCTTCTTCATTTCCACCTGCTCTCCAACACTACGGATTTGTTATTAGTTAGCTAGGCATCCTGCCAATTGTCCTCTTCACATTATTTGACATTTTACTGCATATTTTCAGGCGCAACATTGTTGCCCAAGCCAGCTTTAGTTTGCCAGCGTTTACAGTGTTGCTGTAATGCATGCGCTTTATTGTTGTTGCTTACTCGTATGTATTTTCACTTTTATTATTATTGTGTTTGCATTGTTTTTGCCGTTGTTGTTGTAACATCACTATTTATTGCCACACAAATTGCTTGCAACGTGAGCGTGAAATATTGGCGTGTTTTGCGGTTAAGTTGTACTGTTATTGATGCGGGCATTTTAAGGAGATTTCAGTTTTTATGTGCTATGTTATTACTTGAAATAACTGACAGAATCTATGCACTTGGCTGGCATATTTATTATTGTGATTGCT